GGCAGGAGCCAGGACCACTTCAATCCCAATAAAGGAGGATCCTCTGGGCAGGGGAGTTCTCCACCCACAGGAGGAGCCCATGGTTCAGGAGGCAGGAAACACAAAAGGAGACAGGCAGTGCACAGGGTGATAGTAGACTCTGCATCTGCTGGCCACCTGCTACATGCCAAGCCCCACACCGGACTGAATCGCCTTCTGGGCTGGACAGGAGCTCACCCATGGGAACCACCCTTGTCATCTGTGCCCCTCCTCCCTGCTCAGTTTCATCTATGGTGCCATCACCCACCCATCCCAGACCCCACAGGGTCCCTATAGACTGCCTTCTCTCAGCAACAACCATGTGACAATTCCCATCTGCCCTCCAACCTGTCTCCATCTCCCCGCCACACTGCCCACCTGGATTCCCCACCGTGGTCACCCTTGCTTCTTCTCCGCCCACAGGCTGATTCCCCACGGCACCCTTGACTGAGACGTCCCCAGCCGCTCCCATGCGCAGGGCACCAAGCCCAAGCTCTTGCATGGCCTCAGGGCTCTTACAGTCTGGCTTTAGCCTGACTTTTTGGCATCATATTTGCTGCTTTCTTTCCCCCACACCTGGGTTTTAATCACTCTGAACTAAGTAGTTGCTTTTTCTTGAAAATAGTGTGGTTACCTAATAACTCGGGCACTGTTAGCAGAGTGGTAAACGGTGAACTCCTGGGCGCAGCACAGTGTCCAGTCCAAGCCCCTCTGTTTATTGGCTGTGTGGATTTGGATAAGTGAAACAGCCTTGTGGGCCTCAGAGAGGCGCGCTCTCATCCCTGCCCACCTTTCTCACATTGTCCTCTCTGCCCTCCCACTTCTGTTGAACTCCTACACACCCTCTAAGGCCCATTTTGAGATTTGGAGTGTGGCACCTGCTCTGACTGTCCTGGGCAGGTGAGTTCAACCCTCTCCTACATGTCTGTGGTGCTGCTCACCTCACAGCAGCCCTCAGCCCTAGCGGGTGGGGATCTCCCCTCACTCCCCTAAGAACGTGGCTCAGCACCTGGGAGCTGCCCCAGTAAGTGTGGGACTTGGTGGATGGGGCTCTGTAGAGGGCTGTGGAAATGGCATCTGCTCCCCCACCTGCCTCTGTCTGCTGAGCATGTTTCTCTTTCCTGCTTTATGGTTGTTTTGATTTTAAATGGGCAGTCCACAAAGTCCCAGCAGTCCCAGAGGGGAATGGGCTTTTTCTCTGGGTCATAGGAAGAGGCTCCTGGAAAGGCTGGGGTTGGACCCTAAGGATCTTAAGGCTAGACCGATGCTAGGTTATTCTCATTCTTTCTTTCAAACAGTACCCACTGTGCACCTGCTACAATAACGCCAGGCTCTTGGGCTGTCATGGAACCCATACTGCCACTGTCCCTGTCCCAATATCTGACTTGGTCAGGGTCTTTAGTCACCAGGGTGACTTCTGCTATGAAGAAGAAGAGAATGGGTCTAATTTGGGGAGCAAACACAGCATGGAGGCTCAGGGAGAGGACAGGGAGACTAGGACTGAACAAGGCTCAGTTTCTTTTAAAGAACAGCTTCCCATTCCCACATCCAAAGGGTCAGCTGAATCCCGGGCTGCAGCCCCAGTAGAGCACAGCTCAGCCCTATGCCCACATGCAGGCAGGGTGGACGGCACCCCTGTCCCATGCCCAAGCAACCGAGCTCTCCAGGAGGGCACACAAAAGTGGGCATCAGGCGCTGCTGCTCACCCTCCTCATGAACGAGCTTCTCCGAGTGCCAGGCATACATTTCTCAGGCTAATGCTTCACCCTGTCGTGCTTCTTTCCTATGAATGGGAAGTTCCTAAAATTACACAGCAGGGGTAACCTGCTCCACCCCTCCCAGCCAGCTCAGCTTGCATCTTCGTTGCCTGGCTTCACCCTCTGCAGGGCTTGCTGGCTAGTTGGCCACAGGCTATGGCTTTGAAAAATGTAGTTATTGCCCAGGCAGTGGCTCACGCCTGTAATCCCAGCACTTTGGGAGGCCAAGGCAGATGGATCACCTGAGGTCAGGAGTTCGAGACCAGCCTGGTCAACATGGTGAAACCCTGTTTCTACTAAAAATACAAAAATTAGCCAGATGTGGTGGTGCAGCCCCTAATCCCAGCTACTCAGAAGGCTGAGGAGGGAGAAACGCTTGACTTGGGAGGTGGAAGTTGCAGCGAGTTGAGATCACACCACTGTACTCCAGGCTGGGCAACAGTGCGAGAAAAAAGAAAAGAAAAATGTAGTTATTACCCCCATGGAAAATTATACCAGTTTCTGTAAAGAGCCGAATACTGTTGAATCAACTGTATGCCAATGGCTTTTGAGTAGCTCACTGGAGTCAGATCTCTCCCTGCCCCATCAGTCCCTCTTCCTGCTCTCTGCTGACTTAGGCAGTTTCCACGTGATCTGAACCAAGATGGTTCAGAACCATCTTGCCAGAGGTGCTTTGGCAGAAACTTGACCCTTGGTACTAACAGGGACAGTTTAACCATGTGGAAGGGACCTCAGAGGTATTCCCATCCAGTGCCCCCAGTTTACAGATGAAGAAACTGAGGCTTAGAGGGGCTGCTTTCTGTCCCACAGTCGTGTGGTTAGTCAGGGGCACAGGCAGAACTAGAACCCAGGCTGCTGACTTCTGCCCTCCCGTGAGCCCCTCTGGTGACCATCCAACAGTGAGCAGCATGAATTTTCCGATCCAGAGGAAAGCTTGTTTTCTAAAGAGCTGACCATGTCCCAAGCAGGAGGCCCCCCAAATGACTGAAACCTTCTCATTCCTTACCTATGGACGTAACACTCGGCAGAGAGGTGGAGGCCCTCAAAACATTAGATCCACAGGGAAAAGTACTCAAAGGGGTTCCCAGTGGTTATAGGTTGGAGACCACTGGTCTAATACAACTCCCTTATTTGAGAGATGAAGAAGCTGAGGTTCAAGAAGTTAAGAGACCATGTTTAGGTCACACTGCTAGTTATACAAAGTTAGGACCCTCACCTAAGCCTTCCAGACATGCTGTAGGGGGAAGAAAGAATTCTTTACAGGATATTTGGCTGCAAACCCTCATTTTACACAATTTTGTTGACCCAAACTCAGGAAATCCCTCACTAGTCATGGAGGCTGTGTGGGATAACCTATACCCACAGAGAATTTAAAAACCTACTGTATTCTAGGATTTCCTTGAATCTAAGATATCATCAGTGGTACAATACACTATTGTTTTTTGTACCACTAAGAAAAACTGCCAAGTATAACTATAAAATACTATCAGTCATAAGATACATCCCAATTTTAGAGATGTTAAAATGTGAGGGGAAAATGTGAGCATCATGGAATTGAAGAAATCTGCATGGTAGCTGCTCCCATTCTGTTTGCCATAGCCCTGATGGTGTCCTCCCACCAGGTGGAGGTGCCAATGGAGATAAAATGGCACTTTGAAGAAATAGCATCTCCTAAAGACACAGAAGTAGCAGAGCGGGCCCAGCCCAGTCTGTGGGATCTAAGACAGGTGGCAGAGAAGGCGGAGGACTCAAGCCCCAGCAGGGGAGTGAGATGACTTGAGAGCATCACTGGGGTGGAATCTGGGGACAGAGTCCTGAATTTGCTCTCAGGAGATGCAGGTTTGAATCTCAATTCTGAAACTCTAATGGTGTCATCTTGGGCACGTTCTTATTCTCTTCAAGCCTCAATTTCCTCATCTGCAAAACACAGAATATGTGCCCTGCCACCCTGCCCCATACTCACAGAGCTGTTGCAAAGCTCAGAAGAGAAAATGGTAAATACATGTCCACTTGCTCAACAGATGTCTGACTGCCCAGAACAGAGAACTAGGAAATGACAGGGTAGGTTGTGCGGAGTCTTCCTGGGGCAGTTGGGGAGCTCCTCTCAGCGACAAGGCTCAGGGGGGCATGCCCAGAGCACTTCTCTAGGTTTGAGCATGCCCAGGACCCCTTGAGGAAGTATCTGACATCCATCAATGGAAAGAGACCCATCCTTAAATGGAGACAGGGAGACTAGCGGGCAGAAGGCCATCTTCCCAGGAACAGATGGCAGAGAGGGTCAATCGTCCTGGGGTCCTGTCCCCAAATCCTGGGCAAACACCCTAGTACTCCCCATCTGGTACCCTGAAGATGCTGTGCGTGTGTACATACACACACATTATGCCCTGCTGGGTCTAAGAGTCACAGAAAGAGTTACTTGGCTTAATTGCAAATAGAGCCAGGCAAGCCGAGCCATCTCTGCTATATTTCCCAAGCACTACCGTTTCTAAGGCATCCCCCCATCTGCAAATCAGGAGTGCCCTAACCCTGCCTCTTCTCAGAACCAAAGGGGAATCAGACAGTTAGCAAAAAATTTCTCCTCCTGCAGTCCAGGCAGCTCCAGCCTTTCAAGCCCCCTGGCTCTCATCATAGAGACAGCAAGACTGAGTGGGCAGGCCCTGGGTTCGGAGTTCTCATCCAGTCTCTGTCCCTGCCCCTGCCCCCAGCTACAGGCAAGACCTCAGACAATTTACCTTTCCTCTGTGGGTCTCAGTTTCTTCCTCTGTAGAATAGGGATAAAAAGCCCAATGGGCAAACATAAGGTTTAAACAAGGGGTGTTGCTCAAATCAGCCCCACTGGGGAAGTGGGGCAGGGGAGGGAGTACACTGAGGGGAGAGGAGCCAGGGGTGGCAGGAGTTGGGGAAGTGAAGGGTCACAGATATGTTGGTCAACCCTGAAACTGCTGTCCTCTCCACAGCCTCAAATGCAATAGGCCACCAAGGTAAAAAGCACTGAATTCACAGACCTGGATTCAAAACCTGGCTCTTCAGGTTGCTTACCTTGAACAAGTCTCCTAACCTCTCTCAGCCTCAGTTTCCTCATCTATAAAATTGGGTAACCACGCCATTCTCACTGACTGAATGAGCCAGTGCAGGAGAAGACCCTGGCACCCTGTGGGCACTGAATGAATGGCAGCTGCTGAGGCCCCCGCCAACCCCCTGCTCTAACTCAGTGGTGTCCTGCAGGTCGGGGGAGCAGCTGTCCTGGCCGTGGGCGTCTGGACCCTGGTGGAGAAGAGTGGCTACCTCAGCGTACTGGCCTCTAGCACCTTTGCTGCCTCTGCCTACATCCTCATCTTCGCGGGTGCACTTGTCATGGCCACCGGCTTCCTCGGCTTCAGTGCCATCCTCCAGGAGCAGAAGGGCTGCCTCTCCACGGTCAGTGCCTGCCCCATGCTCTACAGGGAGGGGGAGCCCTGCACTACTCAGTTGGCTTCCCAGCAAGTGAGAGGGGCCCCAGCCCTGGAATGGGAGGGCCTGAGGCTGTGGGAGAGCCAGAGATGGGGTGGTGGCTCCTGTTTGCCATGGTCTGCAGGTTCTTAGACGTAAGCAAGCAGGGCCGTCTGGGTCGCTGCAGCAGCAGCTCCTTCACCACACCTCCATCTTCGTCTCCTCCCACACCCCTTCGGCCCCTTCCTTCTTCTATTTGTCTCCTCTTCTTCCTGCTCCACTCCTTCTCCTTCCTCTACTTACCCTTCCCCTCCTCCTTATTCCTTTTCCTTCTCCTCCTCCTACTTCCCCCCTCTCCCCTTCTCCCTCCTCTTCCTCCTCCTCCTCCTAGATTTTATTATGGCAACTTTCAAAGATACGCACAAATAAAGAGTACTTTTCATGAAGCTCTGTCTTCCCATCACCCAGAGCTCAACAGTTACCGTCTCAGAGCCAGTCCTGGTTCTGTCCACACCCTCACCTGCCCACTTCCTAACCCACGGGTATTCTGAAACAGTCCCCGACAGCCTGTCATCTGTCAGTGTTTCAGCGTATACCTCTAAAACTTAAGGACCCTCTTTTAGAAAACATAACATTACCATTATCACACTCTAAAACCATTAAGTCATTCCTTAATATCATAAAATAACCAGGAAGTTTCACATCTTCCCAGTTGACCCACAAACCATTGTTGTTGTTGTATATATGTTTGAGTTAGAATCTAAATTAGGCTCATATGTTCACACGGGTTGATTTGTCTCCTAAAGTGAAGGCCCCCAGAGTGTGGGTTTTGAGCCCTTTTCTAACAGGTAGGACACGTGTGCTGAGAGCCAGCCACACCACCACCTACCCCTACATGGGGCCTACCATGAGGATTTCCAGCAGGGCAATGCAGTCAGTCAGCCGACGCCCTTGAGCCATGTGGCATATCCCAGATCTGACCAACATATCGGGATGAAGGCATGTGGTGTGACTGAGTAAAACCAGGCATGTAGCGCAGCCTGGGGTGTTCCCTCTGTGTGGCACTGACCAGCCCTTATGGGGTCTGAGGCTTATGGGGACCAGTACAGTTGGGCACAGAGAGAGACCCCTCTCCTCTGCAGTGTCGGCAAGCCTGTCTGTCCTGGCTGGCTCTGCACCCCTTAGCAAGCAGGGCTTTCAGCTTGGCCTCAGGCTTCAGGCTGAGCCTCTGGCCCTGACACCTGGAGGTCTGCCCATGAGCAGGCTGCTGAGCCATCAGGTCATGTTGTTGAGGGAGGACAAGACTCACCTCTGGACAACCCAAGAAGGAATTCAGCAGCCCTCACCAAGTGCCTTCCTTCTGACCCAGAGCCATCTGTCCTGGTTCTGTGGAACCGGTAAAGGCCAGTGGTCCTCCTGCAGCACTGGGAAACAGGCCCTGCATTCCTCCCCAAGCCCGATTAGAACACAAATGGCCACATTCACTAGAGCCACCTTGCTTTATCCTCACTACAGCAACCTGCAAAGTCCCAGTAATCTGAACTCTGTGGAGCAAGCACTGTGCTCAACATCCATGCACAGCAACTCAGTCCATGCCCTGCCCCAAAGAGCAGCAATTTTTTTGAAACAGAGCCTCATTCTGTCACCTAGGCTGGAGTGCAGTGGCATGATCTCGGCTCACTGCAACCTCCGCCTCCCAGGTTCAAGCAATTCTGTGCCTCAGCCTCCCGAGTAGCTGAGATTATAGGTGCCTGCCACCACGCCCAGCTAACTTTTTTGTATTTTTAGTAGAGAAAGGATTTCACCATGTTGGCCAAGTTGGTCTTGAATTCCTGACCTTGTGATCCACCTGCCTCAGCCTCCCAAAGTGCTGTGATTACAGGCAAGAGCCACTGAGCCCAGCCCAGCAACTCTTCTTATGTGTATGGATGGGGAGGAAACAGAGAGCAGAGGTGGGCGAAGCAATTTGACCAGAGTCACCTGGCAGTTGTGTTCCTTTAGGTGATGGTCAGTCAGGTGTGGCCACAAGAGGGGTCACAAGAGAGGCACAGGACAGCAGAGTTTATCAGACTCTTGGGTCCTAGACCTAGCTTGTCCAATCCGTGGCCCATGCAGCCCAGGACGGCTTTGAATGTGGCCCAACACAAATCTGTAAACTTTCTCAAAACGTTATGAGATTTTTGGGGGATTTTTTGTTTTTTAGCTCATGAGATATCATTAGTATGTTTTACATGTGGCCTGGGGAAGCCAAAAGATCAGACACCCCTGTCCTAGACAGATTCACTGTACACCCTACTGGGCGGCGGGGGGGTGTCAGGAGGAGAGCCAAAGACTAGGGCTCCCCCAAGCAGGCAGGGGACAGGCAGTGGGTGAGACCCTTTCACTGGGGGTCATGGTGGAGCCATAAGAAAAGTCAGAGTCCACTGGTGCATTTGAATGTCACTGGGTCACAGGGGAGGGTAGCAAGGGGAACTTGCAGCAGTGCCAGCCCTATCACACTGGTGCACCTGGTCACCCCAGCAGGTGCACACAGCCCACATATAGGGATGTGGAAGCAGCAGGAAAATGCAAAGTTTTAAAATGCATGATACACACTGCTGATGAGCAGCATGCAGTCTGCCTCCAAGCCCACACTCAGACCCACCACACTCTTCTGCGTCCAAAGAGGTCGTATTCACCTCCATTCTCCAGATGAGGAAACTGGCTGAGATGTAGAGCAAGTAATGGCTGGAGCTGGACTGTGCATTGCAGTCCATTGGAATCACCTCCAAGAGTCTACTTCCCTGGGGAGGCCAAACCTGATGGGAGGTAGAGGGACCAGAGGTCAAGGAGGAGGATGCATGCAGGGCACACCCTGCTCTCCATCTCTGCAGAGGTCTTCATGGAGCTGTAGCTTTTGGAGGTCTGGCTGGTAACAAGGGAGGACTCCCTGCAGCACCTAGCTCAGAACACTAGGGCAGGAGACAGGGGCATGCTGGGGGGACCCTAGAAGCCTCAGGCATCCAAGTGCCTCCTTTCTCCCATTATAGGAAGGAAAGAACAGCACACCTTAAGGGTCAGAGCATATTCAGTTTAGAAGGGAACTTGAGGATCAGAGTCCAGTGCTCCATTCAAAGGTTACCAGCTGAAACACTGGCTGGGTGAGTGGATGGGTCACCCAGGCATTAGTGGGAGATACTCAGATTTATCAGATTTTTTGGAGAAAAGTATAATCATAGGAGCTCTTAGCCTTGGCCATCTCAAAGGCCAGATGGGAAGCCTAAGCTTTAGCACCTGACCACACTGTGCTCTCCAAGCCACTGAGCACAGCCTCCCATTCCTCACTTCCTCTTACACCATCGGTTCATGAAATCTGTTCCACCATCCAGGCTGATCCATGAACAATGAACGTCTTCAGCCTCTGCATCTCAACCTGACTGTCACTTAGTCTGGATGAATGGCCCAGAGGGAACCAAGGCCTGTGCCTGGGGCATGCAGGAGAGATGTGGAGAGTCAGTGAAGGCAGTGAAGGTCAGGGCCTTGTGTTTGCCTAAAGGCTTGCTGGGCACCTCTTGCCATACCCTTCTGCACTTTGGGGAGTCAACAGTGAGCCTTGTCATCCCTCTGGGGCTTGAGGCATGGCTGGGGCACAGCAACTGTTGGAGAGGCTGGTGCAAGCTTCCGTGCTTCTTTTCAGTTCCATTTTACCCTCTTGTATAGAGACCTGCCTGTGTTCACTTCCATCCCACACGGAAGTGATGATCTCTCTAGTCTAAGTCACTAAACAGACACATCAGGGAGGCAACAGCTTGAAACTCTGGTTAGAAAAAAGTGTGCATGCACACACACATTCATGCGCACACATGCGCTCAGCCACCAACACAGGACTGTGGAGACAGGCATCTCTGCTGGGGCACTAGCAAACAGCAAACTCCATGGCCAAGAATCTGCTTTCTTTGCTTTCTCTGCCCCTCTGTGAAAGAACCAATGACGGAACTGGCCCAAGGACAGAGCAGGAGGTAAAGCAGGAGATCCTGACTAATCCACATCCCGGCCCAGCAGCCCGTGAAGCATCAAGCACTTGATTGTTTAAACCAAGAAGGTTAGCCTATTACCTTTCTCGCGCTCACACAGTAGGAATTTTTAAACCCAGGCTCCCGTTTAGAGTCCAGCGGCGTAGTTAAGGCAGTGTAAAAGTGCTGTATGACTCTTGGCAGGTCCTTCTTGGTTTCATTTCATTTTGTCCCCTCCATGTCTAACTTCCATTTGAAATCTTGAATCAGCCAACAGGTAAGGGAAGCCCCAAAGGAGAAGGGCAGTGAGTCTATCACTAGACAAAGCGGTCCCAGAGGAGAGGGAAAGCTGAAAGACCAGGCATCTGAATGATGTGCATCTACCTTGGATCAGGAGGAGCGGGGGAGGAGTTACCAAGGAATGACCCAGAGGGGGACCATCCAGCTTCCACTTAGGCACAACGTCTGTCCTGGCACAACCCTTCCTCCTAGCTCATCTACAGCACCTCAGGGTCACTTTCCCAAGAAGGAAGTGGCCATGGGGGACAGAAATAGCACATCTCTGCTAGTGCCAAAATGATAATCAGCTTGATATTGGAAATCTGCTGAGCAGGAACAGGAATGGGACTTAAATCACTCACCAGATCTTGTTTAGCAAAGACTGCATGAGAGATAATTCAGGCCATCTGAGCCTAAGGCCAATGACCAGGACAGAGGCCACCTACATCAAAAGAGAGGGATATTTTTAGAGTTTTGAATGGGGGCTCTGAAAACATTTATATTTTAAGGCAAATGAAGATCATTGTGGATGAATCAGACTAAACTGGGTCTTTTCTATTTAGGGGATGGATTCAAATGTAAAAAGTTCTAAAAACCAATTTCTGAAAACAAAGGGATCCAGAATTGCCATACCTCCATCAATTAGGCCAAGACTTGGTCAACCAAGGCACTAAGGTCCACAAAGGTGAAAATATCTAGGCTTGGGCCCAGAAGCTG